GTGCGGATAAGGAGATGCCGCCAAGACAAGGTACCAAGTATTTATGGATGCAACCCTTCCCAAGCCAACTGGTCACTTTCTACGCAAAGGCATTGCCATACAAAAGCTCGAGATGAGACAGCTTTCGCGATCCTATTTGTGCTCTGCTGTGGAGCTCTCAAATGCAAAGCCCTCCAGGAATATTGGTTCGACCCAGAGGATCAAGTACGGCTTGCTTGGAGATGGGGTGAACCTGGCTGCGCGGATGAAAGGACTGATGCATGAGGTGGACCGATTGCAGTGTACATTCACAAGTTCAAAGCACCTCATCCCTAACCAAAGATAACTTCAGAAGCAACAGGGAAGGATGATTCTGCGAAGAGTTGTACGAAGCTATGTCATGGCTTCGGCTGTCGGAGCACTTGTCTTTGCTTGGATAACTTACATCACATCTTTGAATTCCACTTCCACCCTTTGTGGCTAGAATTTGTGCGCGGTCCAAGCCTTGTTTATGCACGGTTTGCTTCATTCATGTTTTATAATGTTTTACAGTTTGCTAGGATTGTTCCAGTGGTAAGGAATCCTGCGCTAGACAAATTCTGACTTGCAGCCTTCGTGAAAATTAAGAGGTCTAATCCACATGTTGACCAAGGGGTCACAAGACTTTGACTGCCGCTGTAAGCCTATGACAAAATACCTATTTCATGAAGTCTATACTCCGTCGCGAGGACTGAATTCCAAGTACGGCACGTGCACCTTGTGCAGCCAGAACTGTTTGACAGCTGCTGGGCTAATAATTCAAGATGCAAAAGAGAAGAGTAGCGCACAATCAAGGTGCGGAGGATTGTGCAATTGATCCAACCCCGCCACCTGAGGTTTCTGCTCAGCAGCACCCTCTCCCTTTGGCCACAAGGTACCTGTGGAAGTTTGGTCGACCGGTCAGATATGTATGGCCCCCCCCTGCAGCTCTCCACATATCCCTTTTTGCCTTTCTTTTGTGGCAAATATATATATTTATATATACATTGCTTATATACACGCACACGTTATACACGCATACACATAGGCACACATTAGTGTTTTTTGCAGGACAAACCGAACAACTGGAGCCATTCATGTGCACGAAACCCGTGCTGTAGCAAGTGATCTAGCTGCTCCCCGCAGTTCTGTAGCCCAGTGGCCAATCATTGAGCCAGGCCAGTGGACTTGGTGGCTGTGAAAGGGAAGACCGAGCCAACGAAGGCACACACGGTTTGGCATCATCCAGCAACAAAGAAGATACTGTTTCATCCCCAAAATGGTGACTTGGACACGGGCTGCCCATTTGACTGTGTACCTGCATCATATGGGCAGGAAGCCTTGATCTTCCATAATGTGATGATTGCAGGTGATTGAAATGATTGGTTCAACCCTCAATCGAAAGGCTAAAGGCTCTACGTGACCGCTTCCCTTTCAGGTGGTGCCCACTGAATTAGGGGAGCTTGGAATGTTGAAGGCACACTCATCTCTTCAAAGAACTGATCAAACATGATTGCAACTTATATACAGTATATATATGATGCTTCAGGTCTGCGAAGTCATGGGCTATTTGGCAGATGATCCGTCCATGGCTGAGGCGGTTGTTGGTCAACGAAGGATTCAGCAGAATTACATAGAACTACCTTTATTTATTGTTGATTCATAGACGCATGTAGGGGCTGTGACTTGAGAGGCGGTGTATTGGGCAATGTTTTGGTTGCTTCATGCCAAATCCTTACCAGATCATTCACCAGAAGTCAAGGATACTGACGTGGTTCTGGCAAATAAAGCCCAGAAACGTTCTGATGATTCCAGAGACAGGAAAGATCAATCCAAGGAGCTTACGGAGACCAGGGAGCCTGAGTTAAAGTCAAGCGGCAACGATTCTACCCATTTAGATGCACTCTCAAAAGATTTTACAGATCATACAAACCACTTGAGGCTTTAGTCGTGCGGGAGGGATGAACCGTGAAGCGTCATTGATGTCCAAGCGGCAGGCCGTGAAGCGCCATCAGAAGGGCTTTGACCTTTATCTTGCCAGGGGGCCGAGGGCCTGGCCGAAGCTCCAAGTGTATGTCTCTTTCCCGAGACGAATAGATTTCTCACCCTGTGCTTTTTTTGAACATCAACATCGCACAGCTTGTTCCGGGAAAGTTTCCAAATGGCGCGGGCTGTCACATCTTCGCATAATCATTCTGGCAAGCACTGCGCGCCACATGACTGCCTTGCCGTTGTGGACTCGCACAGTTTCAGAAGCTTGCGCAGCTTGCACCTTTGCATCATGCATATCGACCGCAACGGAGAACTTGGTATCTCAAGGGCCATCCATAGACCGGCATGAACATCTGTAAACATCATGTTTGAAGCTGAAATAATAGAACGCTAGTCGTAGCTCCTGGCCTTACTACTAGTAACAAGATGCTACTAGTAACAAAGGGCATCGCTACTAGGAGCAAGGACACTACTAGCAACAAAGGAATGTCTAAGGCATGTCCACCCAATCGAAGGGTGCATTCTTTCTGACTTCTGACTAACCACCGCTGTGCTGCTGGACACCCAATCAGGCACGAAAGTTCAAGGAAGCTAAGGAGATGTTTGAAGAGGCGGAAGCCCCAGCCGAAGGAGGGAAATGTAGGACACCTGCGATGTTGAATTGGAACCCCAAACAAAGCCCGCACCAACTGGAGACCACTTACATAGATGCCATTTCTTTTCTCCACTGTGCTTAGATCAATTCCATGCATATACGAGTGTGCTCCTCTCTGTACATGTATGTTAGCAGAAACTTTGGTGACGTCCTCAGTCACACATTGAAGCCACCCTGTACTGGACATGGTGAATGTCTTGCCCAAACTAGCTGTATACTCTGAGAATCCAGCATGTTGAACACATGATGAATCATGCCTCCTGTCATTTACATCCGACATGTTTGCAAGAAGATTCTGCCGGCTCGCGCATCCTTGCACTCTCAGATGGAGCGAACAAACATTTCATTTGGTTGGAGACAAGATGACTGGCACTGTAATTGGTATATAATAAGACTGATAGGAGTTTTACTTGTGCAGCGGTGAATGTTAGAAACATCGCCAATTCAAGGGTCACTTCCTAGCTGCCCCGCAACCTTCACTCCTTACCCATTTCCAGCTAGCGCTTCTTGCTCCTGACAAGGTCAGCTCGCTTCTATCGGTGGCGGACTTCGTGGATGATGAAACGTGACTTGGAAGACTAGTTTGCTAGGCGCATGAGTAAGAGGTTTGACCTAATTTTCATTCGGCTTGCCCTGGTTTCCTTCACCGAAGCACACTAGGTCCCAAATGATGATTGATCGCTGCGAGGACAGACTGACAGGGTGAGATGTGCACAGCGGTTATGGTTATGCGTTATGACGCTAAGAGTTGCCAAGATCGAGAGATTTTTATTCAAAATATCAGATTTCTACTGATAGAATTGAAATCAACGCTGCAACCCTATGCCTCCTTTTGACCTCGGGTTAAGTTTGCTTGGATCATTTTTCACTTGCTATTATCCATTACACTGGACCGATACCGGGCATATGTGACTTTGCCCGTAGCTATGCATGAGAATGATGAGCATATTAAGAAACATCTTACAAAGATCTTCAACACACAGCACAGCAAGGTTCTGAAAAGCCAACTGGCTGAAGTTAAGTCAACGTCTATGGGTGCTGGCTGAAGCTAAGTCTCTCAAGCCGGTCTGAACCCTTGCAGACACTTTAGCGATCTTGTTTGGAAACAACAAAACTGCATGAGATCCAACGAGACCAATGCCTGCATGTTTAAATTGCGAGCAGCCTCTCCCAATCACATCACGCTTGAGACCTTTCTTAGTAACGCATCATACTTGTCGGAGCTTTCACCAAACTACTTGTCACCCCGTTATCACCCTGTTTGTTTTTCTGCCCTCCATCATTCACGATGCAGAACATTTACTGTAATAAGCTTTTGCACTTTAAAGCCTCCAAAGAAAGAGCGTTCTTTCCTGGACTTTCTCCGTTCGCATGCTTTTGGATCTGCCACAGGCACCTTACTCCTCAAGACTTGGCAGAGTGCCGGATTATTTGCTTCCTTATTGCCTTCCGACTCTTCTATCCTGCATGACACTGCCGGCACTGCTTGTTGCCTCGTCTGAGACCTTCACTTTTGGTCCCTGGGGGCAGACTTTCATTGATGGTTCTGACCGCACGCATTTTGCACAGTCTTGCCGCGTGGAGGAGTACATGAGAAATCCTCCTCCAAACGAATGGGATGGTGTTGAACACCTCAAGTCCAAGTCGTGCGTGGCCCCAGTTACCGGCGCCGGTGCAAAACTGAGCATTTGAATAAAGCAACATCTAGCAGATTTGTGAAAGTCCTTTTGTTCCAGATTGGATGATTCTTGGTTGCTTTGCCTGATGCGCCCTGTGTGCTTGGCCCTGACAATTGAGGTTTGCAGTCGCTCAGCGGCAGAAGGCTGCTCTTAAAGAAAATGCCTTGGCACCCCTGACCTGTTCTTCAGCTTAGTGGCATTTGGTTGAGGTACAGGCTTGGGTGTCAAACACAGGTCTTTGAGGGTACAACCAACCTTGACGGAAGGGTCTGACAATTCTTGCATGTCTGACAGTAGGAGTCAACTCATCTTAAAGTCGGACGTGGCAAGAAGACTAGTGACAAATGAACAAGAACAGCACGGTCAGAAGAGGCACTCCAATTCAGAGCCTAAGCTTCCGGAGAAGAACAATATCAGCGGGGCCGTATACACTGTATACATCCGTATACCGTTGGCCACAATTGTTGCTGGTTACCCTAGCCCATAGTCATACGGCAGCAAGGAACCCACATTCAGGCCAACGGGTGCAGCTCTCATGGCTGTTCATGCCAGGGCGATGTGGAAGCACAGAAAGCCAAAGTGGCTCAGGAAATGGTGGCTGCCTGATTTGTCTGGGTTTGGCTATATAATCTTTTCACATCAGATCATGTTCTTTCCCCTTTTTGCTTGCACCAAGAATGGTGCTCAAGATGGCGGATCTCGACTCTGGTCTGGGAGACCGTGACGTGAAGCAAGCGTTTTCGCAGCTCGCCCAGGCCAACGGTATGGTGACTGAAGAGGAAGTGTACCTCCTCGCCCGAAGCCTGGAATTTGTTTAAAGCAAAGGGAGTACAGTACTGTTCCTGCAGAGAACAAGTGATAATAGGCACAATGGCTCATATTCTTTTTCCTCAAAATCTAGGAACCAGGGCGGCGGCGGAAGCTTCCTTGAAGAAGCGTGAGCTATCCTGCATACTGTAGCTAGCAGCCGTCCTACCTAGGAGCGTCCTACTTAATAGCTACTGACTAGCTCACACCTCTTCCTCTTACCGGCCTACCCCCTCCAAAAAAGTAAAAACACTATATATATAGTATATACGCAATATATACATATATATTAAGTAATCATAATGATAATAGCAATAAAAACAAACAGCTTCAAAATTTCCAGTTCAAGCGTTGAACAGAACATCTCTGAAGCAAAGGCCGATGAAGATGACCCACGACCGGAAGAGGAGGTGAAGGGCGCTGGCAAGCCGCCGGAGCACCCAGCAGCATTCATGGAGACTGTTTGATTTTTGAAAGGAATATGACGATAACGACAAAGAAGAAAAGAAAGGACTGGGACTGAGTTCAGAGTTCAAGGTCTAAACTTTACATTTTGGGATTAACTCAAGAGTTCAGTCCTTTCTCTATTGTTTGGCTTTCAAACCCCACCTGTCATTTCTTTTGTGACTCAAACCCGGCCTGTCATTTCTTTTCTTAGTTAAGCCCGGCCTGTCATTTCATTTCTTAGTTAAATCCAGGTTGTCATTTCATTTCTTAGTTATATAGGCCCGGCCTGTCATTTCATTTCTTAGTTAAACCCGGGTCTGTCATTTCACTTCTTACTTAAACCCGGAGTTCAGTCTCTTGAAGGGGCCAAGGACTGATCTAGAAAGTCCAATCTCGGTTGCATATGACAACGCAAAACCACAGGGTTTCCTCTAGAGTTCAGACCTTGGCTCCACTCATTTTTGGAGAGGAATTAACTCCAGAGCCCAGAGCTAAGTCTTTGGAACTCTGGATCCCAGACGCTTCTTTAAAGAAACATTTTTAGAAAAGGAGTAAGTAGAAAATAGAAAAGAAAGCAGACATATCAAAAGTCCGAATGCCTTTGGCACTCACGACTGTAGACACTCCTTGTCGACCCTTCGTAGGGGCGGTGCAGACAACCAAGCTCCGCTCAAACCCGCAAGAGCACAGACATAGAAAAAAGGATTTGGCCAAAACCTGCGAGCCGAGAGCATCTCAGACATAGTCCATTTGACCTGGCAATCCCGGTATTGAGGGTTCCATCATGGGACCATCCGTAGTTGTCCTATGTTTGAAACGCGCTTTGGCAGAGCAGCTTGTTTCGTTTCGTGAGAGCATTGAGGTGCTCCTCTGGTTGCACGTGGGATGCCATGCTGTGCCAGGGTCGCCAGGCAAGCAGAGCTTGGATATGCAAGCCACTGGCCCTTCATGTACAGTAGGTTGGAGCAAAGGCACCGCGGAATTACTTTGTTGGTTTAGTTCTCCGCCTTCATGAACTTACACCAACATCGAATAGTTACACGTGGATCTTGCAAACCCAGCCACCCATGTGACCAGTATTGGTTTCCAGATCTTGCATTGCTATCATTTTGGAAAGCCAAAGTCCGAAGCCAAATCGCAGGCTGCGAATGGAGAGGCTCCACCTGCACCTATTGAGGTGTGGAAACGAGCTAATTCAAGGGGGGCACGGTCACACGAGTTTGGGTTGTTCCATCTATTTGCTAGGTTCTTGTTGCAGTGTTCTTGTGAACTGCTTCATGGGGGACTCCTAATGCTTTTACCATGCCTGGCCCCTCTCCAGGCTTTGCCGAAACTGATTCTTGGAGAGATGTCTAAAACTGATTCTTGGAGAGATGTCTATATGAGAGGGAATCCTTCTGACCAAGGTGTGCAAAGCCTTGACAGCTAGCGGATGCTAGCGGCATACTTATTGTAGGCCATCGCTCTTAGGTTGGAGGCCATCGCTAGTAGGTTGGAGGCCATCGCTAGTAGAAGGGAAAGAAGGAAAACGAGAAGGATGCTTATTAGATATATACCCTGCCCCAACTTTGCCTCACCTCAAGACCTCGTATTGATGAAACCGTCTTCTGCAATGGGTCATCAGCCTGTCAGGTGCATTCATCCTCCGCAATGCCCGACACGCGTGAGATTTGACCGCAAAGCAAGTTGGGTGTCAAGAGGGCTCCAAAGGCTCAGCATTCGGTAGACTGCAAAGCTACCAAGACACATTGTGCTGTGAACCGACCACAACTTTGGCGGCTCTTCATCACGGAGACCATGAAATTTGATGACAGCATTCCATTCTGGTTCAAACAGGAAGAGCCTTTTGTCGAATCCAAGCACCCACATCAGTTAATGCCAAAAGGCATAACAAGGCATTTTTCTGTCCACACTGAAGGCCCAGGCTAGTGTCAGTAAGGGCCTCCAGCCGGGCCAGTGTGTCACCCCCGTTGATCGCCTCGGCCATATTGCAATGGCAAAGGATTCGAAGTGTTTCACACGAGGATGCCATAGCGCGCGATTCGAATGATCTGTGGTTTGAAGGACTTGGAGGTATCATTCAGAGGTGGTCCAAACACCTTTTGTCGTTTCCATTATACTTAGTCCTGTGGCATTCGATCCGGAGGCCCAAGAGAGAACCCGCAGAACTGCGGAAAAGATAGTCTCCCTGCGCGGAGGATCTTCGTTGAGGTCAGACCACTCGGAAACACCAAAATGGTTTGACGAATACTTACCTGTACTTGGCTGTGGATGTTGCGACCTGGTTCCGTTTTTCACGCAACATGTAGGTGTATATGCAACATTCCGTGGCCCTGTAAAAGGAGAGGATGAGCCTCTCGTGTGGCAGGCTGATGGTTTATCCAGGATCTGAATGGCCGAACCTGCACGTCAGACCACCTCGATTTGGCCGAAAGGCCGAACGGAGGGTCAGTAGGTAGTAGGTATTTCTCTTTCAAGACAGATTCGTATGAATCAGAAGCGTCCTGTCTTAGCTCTAAGCAACAAACATCAAAAACAAGGGTTTGTTAGTGATAATACGATATACGTATATATATATAATATGTGACAATGTTGAATGATGATGCCAAATCGACTTTCTCAAATTTGGCAGGATTCGCAGATGCAAGGAAAAGAGCCAGGAAAAGCTGAGAGCCGTGTGACCATTTCGAAAAATAGATTTCTGTGGTACAAACACTACCTTGCAGAAAAATCTCATTGGGGTACATTCCAACAAACAGATTATGAATCACTGTTCGGCAAAGCAATTTTGTTAAAGAGCTGTTGTCCAGGCAATCAACCAGGACAAAAGGGCAGGGGACTAGTCTGCTTGCCAAGCACTACGTCCCTGGCTGTGGGCTGATGGATGTGGCAGCAGGGGGTTTTCTCGAAGTCAGAGTCTCAGGAAGAGCTATGATTGACTTTCCCTAAAGATTAGCATTGTTTGCTACAAACATGTCTGCGACTACCCCGGAGTCCAGGTTCAAAAAACATTTGTCTGTGCATTCTAAGGAGGGCAGCTTGGTGAAACATGCTTTGCAACTTGCCCTGATACGGCTGGTGCTGAGAAAATGCCGACACAGTGAACTGGTCACAGTGAGCATAGAGAGTATTTTGCTGGTTGTAATGTGCATGCGGTGTCTAGCCCGAACTCATCTTGAAATTTATATAAGCACCTGACCTTGGGGACCAGTTTCTTTGAGTCCATTCATATCGGTTCATATCTACTATGACTGGTGCCTCTTTCGAGAGACACATCTTTTTTGCTAGCATTTGCCCATGTGCCCATGTGCAAAAGGGCCAATGAGTAGAAGTCCAAGGAAGTCACATCAGCTTCTGGAAACAAGACACAGTCCACCAGAAAACCCAAGCAAACCTGGGAACGCGTCCTTTCCACTTTGGCCATACAAATAAGTTCGCATTCCATTCCACACCGCAGGTACTGATTCACACTACCTTGAAATGCATCAATGGCTGAACTGCGTGCTGCAGCATAACATCATTAGTCTGTCCTTTGAAGCCTTCTTCAAAGCAGGGCAACAACAACAACAACGACAACAGAAGCAGCAGCAGCAACAACGACAAGCAATCCGTGTTCATGTTCCTTTCAACCCTGTTCATACATATTGTTGCTGACTGTGCTTTCCTTGTCTGCCGATTGTTGTACTACTAGGGTGACCCGCCAAAGCCACGTCTTGTTCCCTCAAGCGCATCTTCTGGGTCGGATACCCATGACCAGAGTCTTTACGCAGGCCGTCACTCACCATTGTGGATAGGCAACATCGCAACATCTCTCCCATGACCCAGCCTCATTTGACAGCCCAAGGTATGGCAATGGAGTGCAGGTCAGCTGCGAGCGGGGTGCCAAAACCTTCGATCAGACTTGCCACTCTGACATATATGGTGCAGCATTTATTGAAGTCTGGGATATCAATATGTCCACATGACACAATGCATTTCTGCTTCGGTATGCCACCGAAGGACCTTTAAGGACTGTTAAAACAAAGAAGACCATCGGAGACCTTGTATAAAAGGCTGAGAAGGGTAGTATGTCAGTATGGGTAGCATGAGTCAATAATGAGAAAGATTTGTTTTGTTGGATCATTGGAGAATTCCCATTCTCCGCTTACATTGACGGTGTGAAGCAACATATAAAGGATCGAGAATCGAAAATCGAGGTCGAGAATCGAGAATCGAGCTTGTCAAGCCTGGTCTGACAATTACATTCCAATTTCATTTAAAGCAAAAGGCAGTTAAGATGGGTGCCCATTGCACTTCGAAACAGCTTCGAGGGCCATGCTTGATCGCCTTTTTTGTAAGGTGCAGGCAACACTCCTATGCTTTTACACACACAGCTTAAGCGGTATCCTTTGCACCAGGACCCCTTGAACGACATGGTGGCAGCCAGGGACCTTCGATATGAGTCAACCAATGAATTGCGATCTTGGGGCTCGATGAAGACAGCATACTGAGCATGATCCTACATCCCTTCAAGGACCGTCATTGTTGTGCTCCAAGGCACACCACGCACCCAGGAGCCTTTCAGGACTGGCGCAACGTGGCCAAGAACTGGTACAGGTGGCAATACAAATCTAGAATTTGCAGCAATACAAATCAATAGAAGCAGCAGGTGGGCAATCCTATTGTCCTATTGCAAAGAAGTATCTTTCTGAGTCTAGAATCCCCTTTTGAAGCAACCAAGCCTGCACCAATGGACATAGAAGATATTCCAATAACCCAATATATACTTACAGGGTCTTCGAGGTGGTACAGGATCTATTCCTTAAACACAAGTACCAATGCACCAATGTTGGTGAGGGAGAGAAGTGAGTAATCTCCTTCAACATGACTAGTGTCAGGATGGACACACATTTGTGGCTACAGTTCCAAGTAGACATTGGACATGATTGAAATTCGCGAAAGTCGTCAATGTCAACCTTGCAAGCAAACATTGAATAGATTGCAGCATATTCGATATGCTGGACTTGCGAAGACTTGAACGTTGAACTCTACACGGTGAGAATAGTGTCACGCTGGCCGAGGCGGGAGGAAGATGAACATGGCGACGAGAGGGAATTCACCGAGTGCATCGCTGCATGGCAGGAGACTGGAGGCCTGAGCCACAGGTGGAGTGGTGGCGACCTCTAAGTTGATTGCCGATGCGCTTAGAGGCTTAGAAAAAAGCTCATGGAAAGTTACCTTGCAACCAGCCTGTATTTCTCACAGTTGGTGTCAACGCTCACCTTACCGTGCGTCCGGCGGATTCAGTATAGTAGAGTAGAGTAATCTGAAATGATTGCAAACAGCAAAGGGTTTCTGGGAGCCCATATTGCTTTGGATCATGTTCCACATATTAACTGTTCCATTGTTCCACATTGTTCCACGTTGGCAATGTTCCACAGGTCGCACCTTCCCGGACTTCGGCCGCATTGCGCGGGTGCCCACTTTGCTTCGGAGGCTCAGCTGCCTTCAGCGTCCCGAGAATGTCATCGGGATAACACTTAGGGACAGCAGACTTGGTCCGAATTTTGTAAGATAATCGATGATCATAGATGATATTCCATACACATCGTGGACCTCTGGAAAGTAAAGGATCAGCAGAGCCTCAAGGATGGCTTTGTGGGACGGGCTTACAGGATCCTGAAATAATATCTTCCAGGATGCTTACAGGAGCTAGAGAAAACTCCTGTGAGTCATTCGCCATCTGAGGTCTCTCGAAGTCCAGGACATTCACATCGGTCTCAGGATGTTGAGGCAGGGTGGAGAGCCTCGCTAGACCCACTTCGTTAGGTTGGCTAGCGATTCCTGAGCCAGGTGGGCGTCGCCACTGGCTAAAGACACTAGACAAGACTCGGGAATCGTCTCCTGATCACTGGGTTGCCCTTCGCTCTTAGGTTGGAGGCCATCCCTACCAGGTGGAGCCATAGCTAGCAGAAGGAAAATAAGGACAAATTGCACATTCCCGTCTTGCCACATGTGACTTTCAATCTCTGCCAGGTACGTGGTGAACTGAATGCCACTTGTCACTAGTCCAGCTGATGAAGCTGAGAAAGATTCGATGCCTTTGCTTGAGCAACAACTGTCTCTCAGTTTGAGCAGAAACTGCATTGGCGGACTTGTTGGGCTATGGGATAGACCAAACCAGGCAGACTGCCCTGTTCGAATCCAGGAACAAGAGCATCATAGATGTACTGGTAGTGGATAAAAAGTAGCAGTAGCACTTCTTGATGTTTGAAAATGAGCACTGAGGTTTCACACCGTCATACGAGGTGATATTTGACTGTGATACGCGCCACGTCAATTCGAATTGCTGCAGACTCTATGCCGCTGTCTTATGAACAAAGACAGGGAATACAACTTTCACCTGCCTGAAGCATCAAATCATATCGATCGTATATCATGTCATACCGTTGAAGATGTTTTCAGATCTCTGCACATCCTGGACCGCCATGTGAGGTTGGCGGAAGTCTCTTCAGGACCGGAGAGTCAATGGTAATCTACGGTCCAGGGGCCCCCAAGATGGGGGCAGGGCTTGTACCACATTTTTCCCTCTCTCTCTCTTTCTCTATTTTTCTTTCTTTTTTTCAATTTTTTCTTTATATTTTTCTTTTTATCTTTCTCTTTCTCTGTCTCTTTCTCTAACTCTAACTCTCTCTCTCTCTTGCTAGACATTTTGTCCACTCTTCTGGACTTCGTCTCTTTTTTGGCGTAAGATATATACTTGCAGGAACAGTTTCAGAAAAAGGCTTGCATTTTGATGCATTTCGGATCTTTGCCTGCAGGCTGTGAGGCTATGAGTAGTGGATTGCAACTGTCACAAATGACCAAGGTGTGGCCAAGAGTTGACCTTCAGATGAGACTTATTAACTGATAATCAATGAACAAGTTGTATGACAACATCCTCGTGTTCGGAGTCAAATAGTTGGTCTATGAGTGAGCGGAGTGTACTTCATTTTTTGGGTTGATGTCAATGCCTCAAGGACGACGCCAAGTACCTTGCGGAAGGTGGGAGAACTGCCGATGGCTTCAAAATAGGATGATGCGAGCTGCGAACCAAAAGACAACATTGATTGTCAATGGACCACCGACCACCGTTGTCTCTATTGTACATTCAATTTTTTTTTGGCAGCAGTTCCCCTAGGCCCCTGGGCTAATCACCGTGCTACAACAGCGGAACACCGGAGCATGAACCGATCCTCTGGGGAAACGACATTGAACGTTGGCGACTTCCTTCAATCGGATTCTCTATCTTCTCTTTGTGTGATTTGAAAAAGGCGGCTGAAACCGAGGTGGAATTCAACTCTGAAGATCCAGATTTGGCACAACAACTATAGCTTGCTAGGCTTCCTAATCATTGACCCATAGAATTGAAGATCTTGAAGTGCTACTGCTAGCCCAGTTACCCCTGTTGGCCTGAGCTGCCAAGGAAGGTCCCGATTTGCATACTCAAGGCTGCCTTACTTGTTATTGACTTCCTTGCTTTTCTGATTTCCCGCTTCTGTTTCTGTTTTTTAAATTTATGCTTCTGCGCTTTTCCGCATGTCTGCTGTTCTGCTTCCTTGCTTTTGTTCTTTTGGATAACTTTTGTTTCAGTCATCGCTTCTTTGCTTCTTGATTTTTGTGCTTCTCTGAACGTGTTGTGCAGTTTGCGCGCACCGTTATTGATTATTGCTTCTTGTTTGTTACTTTGCTTTGCAAGGCAAGAAGCAAGATTCGTGAGACTTGTTCTCAAATCTTGCATCTTGCAACACTGAACCGGCGAGCAAGCTGCCACAAGCTGCGCACTCATCCTTGATGTCTCAGAGCCTTGGATCAATCAGCCTCCCAGGCGCCCTTTTTTGACTCCATGTTCCGGCACACACACTGGAAGGGGCCCGCCGCCCAGTTATTGATCTCATGCGTCCCGAGGAAGATGGCAGGATATCCAGTCCAAGATCTGAGGCAGGCAGACGGCAAATGACCTGAGAAAGCACAGTCCCTTTCTTACTGAAGTCACCCATCTACACGTAGTGAGGGAGGTGCAACCCCTTTGCTTCGCCATTGAGCTTAATCTAACCGAGTAGCGATGGCCTCCAACCTACGTTACTAGCGTAGAAGTGTTAGACGCATACGCATTTCTGTCTTTATTTAACTCAGGGCTTTGGTGCCACCCTGGACACCGAAGGCCTGGGCAGCCCGAGCGATCTCAAGCGACCTCACGACCTGAGTTTTTCCACTCTGTCTGCGCATTCCATAGCTCAAACCTCATCAATGGAAGCTACAGTAAATGGATTGAACCCATCAGAGGTTTGATAATGACTCCTGGGGACCCTGGCCAAAACTTCGCTTGCACTTGGATTTGGTTGAGAATGGGTTGTGTCATGCAGAAACATGCAGAAACTGCCAACACACAGGTGCATGATTGGCATCATTTCCACATTTATGGCTACGGTACTGCTTTTGATGAAGGTTTTGTTGAACTGACACTGCTCCCAAAGCTGTGAATGGGTACCCTGGCAGGCCACTACTTTGTGGATCCCTCGGGCTTCCTCCTCAGATATGCGCTGGAATACCTGCGCGCAGCGTGGAGCTCAGGGCTTGGCGCCAACGCCATGTAAAAGCAACTGTGAAGATTGTGTCTTGTAAAAGCAACTGTCTCAAGACCTGCGAAGATTTTGGAGGAAAAGAGGCCGGAAGCATTTCAGGCTGACTTTCAGCGGAGGCAGACGTTGTGGACAGTCCAAATCGATAAAGAACAGCGCGTTGCGAATTGAAACTATATATGCCGCTTTGTGGGCGCCTGCTGCGCACCCCGTGGCGGCTGCTTGATCTGCTAAGGGCTTCTGGCTGCTCGGTGAGAAAGCCTGTGATTTAGAGTTCCACTCTCAGCCGGGCACACGCTAGCAAGGCCAGATACAGGGTACCAATCGACCACTTACGGGATTGTTTCGTTTTGTTTTGTCTAGATGCTTTTAGTACACCCTGAAACCAGCAGCATGCTCAACGTGGCACTTTGGCTAAGGTTTGTGGACGCCGTGCGCTCTGAGGCCGGACGCATTGCTTTGTAAATGAATTAACAGGGTGGGGTTCCTTCCCAACAGATACAAAAGTTCTTTTGTGTGATTTTTTCTGAGTGCGCCCCGTTGACTGACAAATCCACTTTGCAGTTTTAGGCTCGTGAAGGGTGTGAAGCTCGTGGTTGGCCAAGGGTGGAACAGATCAACCCTTTGGCCTTCGCTGCGAATCTGTTATTTGCCATCACCCGTTGTCATCCTTGCGGCCCTTGCACATTGCCACAGTTCAAACACCACTTGGGCGCCCTCTGAAGTGCATAAGTTGTCAACCAGACAACTAGACGAAGCCACACTCATCACTAGAAGTAAAATTCTTAACAAACAAACTTCAAGTTCATCTTAAAATCATTACTGAACTATTGAACTCTGCAAGTGAGGCGAACTTCTACGGGTTGGAAGGCGAGCAGCAGCTCCCCGTGCCCCGCATCACTGAATACGCCGGTGGCCTAGGCAAGAACTACTTCCGGACAGTTGGCAGCGCCAACCATAAGTCTGAAAGTCCCTGGCCCCAATGTTTTTTGTCGATCGTTTTTGTCAGAGGTGAACTAACAAGAGGACAGCGTTAGTGGGGCAGCTGCTGTCCTTGACTACATTACACATCATTTCACCTGCCCCTGCTGTTTTCAATCCCATTATATAATACAAATATACAACCATCAATACAAATGGTCAAGCGCATTTGTCAAACCATACAATCCCACACAGTTTTTGAGCCATGATCATTCCATTCGTCAAAACATCCCACAATCCCGCACAGTTTTTGAGCCATGCTCATTCCCAAATTCGATCAATACATCCTATTTTGACCCTCACCCCTTGAACTTTAGTGCCAGAGCTAATTAGTCCAACCCTGAAATTCTGACCCCTCTTCAAACAAAAGGTCATCCTGAGGTCTTGGTCTGACAACGCAAAGATGATACATCCACCTACGTGGATTGCCTGGAAGAAACCATCCGACAGGACTATCGACTTTGGAACAGTTCAATTGATCGCGGGATATCATTTAGATGGATGATTTTGATGATATACGGCAGGATCGGGATCATCAGGGTCTTTTTCGTCTCTGCAAGTACTTTGGCGGCCTTCCGCACCTTGGCAATGGCGGCGGGGCCAACACTTACCAAATACAGAAAGGCGTTTTGCATTGAGCATCAGAGCCACGAAAAACAGTACACTAAGTACGAAGGGTGATCAAGTACCCAGTTTGGGACGCTGGAGGAAAGACACGCTGGAGGGAAGTATCCAACATCATGAGACGCTAATTGCTGTGCCGTACTGAAAAGTGCAAGCAAGTGTGGGAATACAAACCTGGTGGACTTGCGATATCGCTGGCCTCATGCACGTTGCTGCAACTGGTGGCCAGATTTGTAGATCCCTGAGGCTGGATCAACAGACTGGCACGAAGCGCTTCAGTGGAATGGCAGATGGTGGAGAATATGCATGGGGCACCGGCCACAAGATTCCTCTAGATGATGTGCTTGCCCTCTATCTCTGTATCTCATGACCTCAAGGAATTCATGGCTATGTTTGCTAGGCCGCTAACTAGGCATGAGTCCTGCCTGAATGTGTGTTACTCAATGTATTTCTTTCTTTTCTGACGCTTTCCTGACAGAACACAGTACCCATTGAAAGATGACAACTTTGTGCATGCTACTCGCTGCTACTCCAAGACAGAGGTAACAGAGCTGGATTTTGGTCCACTCCTAATCATGAAGTTTGATAGCGTGGCCTGGCCTTCAAGACCTTGCCCTGCACCCGGGTCATTCTTCATCATTGTCCTCTTGTGATTTTATGAGTTTATGTACTGTATGTGATTTGTTCCCACAGATTCGCAAAATGTGGAGGCGACGTCCCACTGCATCCAGTCGGTGCTCTCTTATTTCGGCATGCTGGCTATAAGTCTAGTTCTTGTGGACAGCCGAGACCAATACATCCCCCAAACATGTTGATTGTCAATATGATTTGTAGCAAGAAAAACATACTCCCACAATGTTTCTTGTTTCATCATCTGTTTCTCTATGGACAAATGATTGGGTGAAGGTTCAGATTTCTTTTTAGACGCCAGATGTCATGGCGCGGATTCTCGCTGCAGCACATTGTTGAGGCAGTTTCAGATT